TCTAAAATTTAAAAGACGGCTAACATATAAAAGATTAATATTATTTAAAAAAAAATATTATTATTGTTTCTGATCTTATTGTGAATGATTCATGAATGACGTTATTCTAAGGAATAATAATTCTTCATCATTTTTCTTTTTAATGTAATAACTTGCTCCACCTCCTAAATGATTTTATATGAGAAACTGAAGTCAGCATGGGCAGAATTAAATAATATTTACCAAAATCATCCACTCAAATCCAAATGGAAGTCCTGTTAAAAAAAATCTGTATAGTTAACTAATTAATTAATTTATATATATATATATATATATATATATATGATATTTGAATGATATTTGGAAAAAAAACTATTTAAAATAATTAATAATTATAATTAAAAATATATATTGTTTGTGAAATATTTATACGTCATTGAAATTTAAGCTTATATTTTTTTTTTTTTTTTTTTACCTTTTTAATAACTTTTTAATAATTCAGGTTTTTATTTTTAGAATTTATATTTTTTTATTTTGGAGTGAAATTTGTGCTGTTTTTATATCATGCATCTAAACAAAGACGTTTTTATTTGTTTAAATAGTTTTCAGTTTTATCGTAGAGTTAGTAATTTTATGTGTTTTATTATTTGTTGTAATATTTCCACTTGGCTGTAATTTATTTTTAATTTCAGTTTTAGTCATTTTAGTACTTAAAAAAATAATGAAAATGGTAAATGTTGCCTTGGTAACTGATTGAAATAAAATGTTGTAATTTTTGTGAATTATTTTAAAAAAATCTATCAATTTTTGTGATATTTATATTATGCATATAGAACATGCTCAAAGAAATTTACTTTTTTTGAGTTTTTTATTTTTGTATATTATAAAAGTTTTTTTTTATTATTATTGATATAATAGTTTTTCTTTTTACTTTGGAGAGAAATGTGTGCTGTTTTTGTGAGGTTCATATACATTTATCAGATAAAACATGCTCACCGAAGACATAGATCCAGTCACATCCTCATGAAATGGGTGTTAAATGTGTAGTGAATGGCATATCTCCTCAGACAGCAGTGATTGAGTGATTTCCGTCTGTTTGTGATCCATTGATTTAAATTAATATGACTAACTTGATCGTCTGTTTCTGATGTCAGACCACACAATATCTCGTAAAGAGTCTGTCTCTGTCTCTGTCTGGTTGATTGATGTGTGAAATCTGTAACTGTTTTGTTTGCGGTGCTGAAATGAACGCCTGCTGGTCTGTTTTCATCCGTCCACCGGCCCGTCTGCTTTCTGATTGGACACTGATTGTTAATGTGATGTGAACGCTGAGGGTGTGTGGTGAACACAAAGTCTGATCTGTCTGTGTGTCACTGCTCTGTTTCTTTCCCGACAGTCGTCGCTGTTAAAGAAGAAGCTGGAGGAGCATCTGTGAGTGTCTCTTTGTCGTCTTTCCTGTGAACCAGCGTTTCATCACATGTTGTGTTAATGCTGTGTGTGTTTTGCTCAGAGAGAAGCTCCATGAGGCTCATTCTGACCTGCAGAAGAAACGAGACGTGATTGATGATCTAGAGCCGCATGTGGACAGTAACAGTGAGTCAACACACACACACACACACACACACACACGACCAGCAGCAGGTCAAAGGTCATAGCTCATAGACAAACACCAAACTACTCTGAAGCTAGTTCATAAAACTCATCAGTTGAAGTATCAAAAATATATGTAATATGAAATGTCATTTAAATATTGTTTATGCACCGTTATAGAATTCGTGGAGCTTTAATTATATTTTCTGTGTTCAGTATCTTAGATTTAGTCATTTTATGTGCTTTTGACTTTTTTATGAGTGCTTAAATTCACAAACTTTTGAATGTTGCCTTGGCAACTGACTGAAATAAAATAAGCACAATTCTTTCTTTTTATATGTTATACTTTTATATTTGATATATTATGAAAATATATTATATTTGAGTCATTTAGTAGTTTTAGTAATTTTGTGCTTTTGTCATTTTTATTAGTTTATAAATATATATATTATTAAACTATATATACTGTATATTAAACTATATTAGTTTTATTATATTTCTATTTGGCTTTAATTTTTATTTTATTTTTTAGTTTTAGTAATTGTAGTTCTTAAAAATTAATGCAAATTATAAATGTTGCCTTGGTAACTGACTGAAATATAAAGTTTTTGTCTTATGCTTATTTTTTATGTTTTTTATTGTTATAATGTAATTAATTATATTTTCAGTTTCCAATTTTATCATAGTTTTAGTCATTGTGTTATGCATTTTTGTCTCATTATATTTCTGTGTTTTTAATATTTTTATTTATCTTTATTTTTGGTAATTTACGGTATTTTTGTGTTATGCTTATTTTTTATGTTATAAAGAAATATTATATTATAAAAATATAAAAAAATTTATATATTTTATTTCAGCTTTATTTCAAGTTAACAAGAACTACACTATTTATTCACATCTAATACAAATATTATTATTGCCTGCTCATTCACTCATAAAAGTGACCAGAAAATTATAGTACATCATAATTAAAAAAAATGTACATTAACAATGTTATAAATATCATGAAATCATTTTGAGCAGAAAAATATGCATATATGTATTTCAATACAAAGACACAAAAATGCAGTGCAGGGCCTTTTGGGAGTGCTTTTGAATTGAACCAGTTCATTGAACGATTCATCTGAACAAACTGATTTGTTCAAATGAATCAGATTCAGGAGAGTCTGAACAGACTGGAGTGTTTTTGAAGCTTTGCATCAGTTCATTACAATACGAGTGCTTTTGAATTGAACCAGTTCATTGAACGATTCATCTGAACAAACTGATTTGTTCAAATGAATCAGATTCAGGAGAGTCTGAACAGACTGGAGTGTTTTTGAAGCTTTGCATCAGTTCATTACAATACGACAAAAAAATGTGATTTTTGAAGAGTAACCCGTGTTTCTGTCATGTTACACAGCTGCTTGTTACAGTGAAAACTAGTCTTGTGGAAATATCTGAGCTGCTGTCACATTACTGAGTGTTAAAGACACTCTCTGTGTGTGTGTGTGTGTGTGTGTGTGTGTGTGTGTGTGTGTGTGTGTGACCCGTGTTTCTGTCATGTTACACAGCTGCTTGTTACAGTGAAAACTAGTCTTGTGGAAATATCTGAGCTGCTGTCACATTACTGAGTGTTAAAGACACTCTCTCTGTGTGTGTGTGTGTGTGTGTGTGTGTCAGTGGCGAAGAAGATCGATGAGCTGCAGGAGATCCTGAAGAAGAAGGATGAAGACATGAGACGAATGGAGGAGAGATGCAAGAGATACGTGGAGAAAGCTCGCACCGTCAGTACAAACTGCAGATAGATGTATAGCAATCGAACAGTCCTGCACATGTTTCCGTGAACGTCATACGTGTGTGTTTCAGGTCATAAAGACTCTGGACCCCAAGCAGAAGTCTAACGCGGTTCCTGCTGAAGTTCATGTGCTGAAGAGCCAGCTGACGGAGAAAGACAGAAAGATGCAGCATCTGGAGGTCAGACACACACACACACACACTGTGACCATGTCTGACTGTGGTCATGTTGATCCCGTGCTCGTCTCTGTGTGTTTTCAGCATGATTTCGAGAGGACGCGCGCCAGACGCGACCAGGAGGAGAAGCTCATCATCTCATTAATGATGTTTTTAATGCTGTGCGATAGGTTTGGGTGTTGTTCAGGGTTACGGTGCATGTGAACGCACTTTACACACTCGGTGCCTTCAGCTGTCAATCATCTCATGCTGTACGGAAACCAAACACTGGATGCTGGGAAGCCTTTAGTGCCACGAACAAATGAAATGCATTTTTAATGATTTTTCATTAAAATGATGGTTTTAAATGGCACTAATCACAGACGAACCGCTGGTGGAGGCTGCTGCTTGACCGTTTCTACAATGCTTGTTGTTTTTCTGATGGAACGCCAGCAAAGTCTGCCGCTGGTATTTATTGATTGTTCAAACACTACTGACTGTGAACACTGTGTTCAGTCCACTCGGAGTGTTTTGTGTTCACGAGTTGCACTCGGTCTGGACTGATGGGGTCGGCACAGAAATAAGTCACTTTAGTCTCGCTGTTCTTCTCTTTGCACTACAATAAAAGAGATTCTTGGTACAAAAGTAATCAGAGCCGAGTTTGCGTCTCTGCTGTAAATGATGTGACACCACTGAGAAATGTGGTTTTATTATTAAATGCAATGCACAAATCAGAATTGAAATCAGTCAAATGAATACGGGCTTTGACAACGCAAGTACTTTTATTGTTAGATGTGTTGTCTATGACTCCACGATTGCCTTAAAGATAATATTGAAAGATAATCATATTGAAATCATAAACTTTATAGAACACTTTTAAAAGGTGAGAGATTAAATAGATGCATACTTTATGGAAAGGCGATCATGATCATAGGGCAGATGCCAATTCTAAAATTTAAAAGACGGCTAACATATAAAAGATTAATATTATTATTTTTTTTAAATGTATGTTATAAATGTGTAAAATATTGTTTGGAAAATCATTAACGTTTTTTTCTTCTCACTACTGTACTGTTTATTACATTTGTTTTTATTTATTTAGATCAAATTTAGCTAGATGAGTTAGTTTAACCTAGTTCAGTCATTTGTAGTATTGTGCTGTTATATGTATTAAATCATTTTATTTGAATCTATTTTATCTAATTGTATTTTTTTATTTAAATCAAACTGTATTATTTTTGTTTGAAATATTATTCATTATTTTAATAAAATTTAGTTGCATTAGTTAATCTTATTTTGTCATTTATATATTTGTACATCTTTTACACTGTTTCCCTAAACAAATCTATGAATCTCGTAAATGTGAGGACTAACTCATTTCTACCTCGGATGCAAGTAAAATCTTTTGTCAAAACAATCTTTCTAAATAAAATCATAATCCACAAACCACAAATCGAATGTGTTTCTGCTACCATTTTGTTTTACTACTTTTGCTGCGGTAATTATTACACATGCTGCATTATGTTTTAATGGATAATAAAACTATGAAATAAGTCAAATAAACAACTTCACTTAAAAAAAATGGTTGCATAAACTATTTTCACTCAGAAATTGCTAATCGCAAATAACTACAAAGAAACGACACAAGTAGCACATTGAATTCAACGTGAAATTCTGAAGCAGAAAGACTAAAACGGTGTTTTCTTGTCAAATGCGTTCAAATAAACAAATAATATCTGTATGATGTATTTTCTGTTTTATTCCGTCTGCTGTTCTTCCTCCGGCCTGCAGGCGGCAGCAGCGCGCCACTCAGAGCTCTTGGCCACTGGCCGCAGATGAAATGCAGTATGGCGGAGCGACGCTGAAATACAACAAACTGTGCGGAAAACATCGGGATAAAACCCAGAGACCCCGCCGATTCCTCCCACGATCCGGTAGATCTGCGATTATAATCACACGCGGACCCGCGGCTCGATAATCGCGCTCGTCGCGACACTTTATGATCCCATAACAAGACAAACCAACGCATCACTCTTTCGTGTTCACCTTTGTTACGTTTAAAACACGAGTAATAATACGCGCTATAATAAAACAGAAGTGAATGTAAAGGCTTTATTTATTATTTTATTATTACCAAGCAGTGAAACGATGGAGAAAAAGCCACATAAATCAGACAAACATCCTCATCACCACCACCATCACCAGTCCTCCAGCAGCAGCGGGGAGTCCGGCGGCAGCAGCCCGGCTCACGGGGCGCCCAAAGCGGCCAACGCCTTCGCCAACGACGGCAGCTTCATGGAGCTGTTCAAGAAGAAGATGGAGGAAGAGGAGAGGATGAAGAGAGAGACCGAGGAGGAGGAGGAGGAGGAGACGAAGACCTCTGCTGCAGCAGGACAAGCGCCTCAGGACAAGAAGCCGTTTGGCGTGAGCAGCTTTGTAAGAACGGCAGTGGACACTCACACACTCTCACACACTCACTCACACACACACACACACACACACACACACACACACACACACACACACACACTCTCTCTCTCACACACACACACACACACTCACACACTC